CCGAAATCTATCTATGGCGGCTCGCTCATCCTCTGCCACCCCCATATACAGCCGGGCTCAAGACACACACACATTCACACACATGCCACTTCCTTTGGGCTTGGGCGCTGTGCTACTACTAGGAGAGGCACAAAAATAAGCAGATGACTGGCGGCATCTTCCTCAAACAGCGGGACCATCCGGTGCTGAAGATAAACATTTAACCTGGAAATTTTCAGCACTCAGCAAAGTGAAACCTGTCAAAGTTTAAAGAGCAGATTAAACAATCTGTCTCAATAACACTGCAATTAACTTAAAAGCTGTAAAGCACTTCAGCGAGCTGTTGGTCAACAAGTGAGCCAACTGTCCTTTAAAATGTTAAGTTGTTATTGTTCGGTGTCACAATTTATGTCAGGCTTACTGACTCCCAGTTCACCCTTAGTGCGAGTGAAAAGAATTGTGGGATTCATAGCAACCGTTGCCAGTAGCCTCTTTCACTGAATGATGCTGACAGCTTCCAGCCCTCATTCAGTGGCTAGCTGCTCCTTCAGTGGTATTTATAGCCGCTATTGATCGAGACAGATTTGGCTGAGAAGGAAAAGCAGCACTTGAGATTTAGCGGCCGACTATAGAATAGGCTTTGTGTGTCTGAGTGTGCACATTTGGTTGTGTGGGGGAAAAAAAGCACACTGTATGTCACCATCACCTGTGGAGAGAGCGAGGCAGTCATGAGGCCGTCCCATGTTCCTTGTTCACGCTTTCCATTTCCCTCTCAGCTCCATTAAACCCTTCCATGTGAACATGAAAATGATAACACATTAAAAAGCCCCCATCAGCAGCTGCACTACTGTCCTCGCCAAGCTGCACACCCATCAGCCTCAGCAGTCCCTACACACTTAACTTGAGTCACTCAATCAATCCTAGCTGGTGGCCTGACTTACTGGAGGAGGCTACTATCTGAGCACAGTCTTGCTGGGGCTTTCTGTTTAGACTGTTGGAGGATGACTAATCCTCTATTTAAAGGGCTCAGGGCTCGACTGAAGACTTGTGGCATACAGGCAATCAACTGTCAATGCTGAGGTGACGCAATTCACTTTCAGGGGAAACTGTAGGTGGTTAGTTATTGGGATAAAAGAGCAGAGGGAAAAAAGTTTTCCTCACAATCGTCTTCTCCGTACTTGCCAACCTTAAGACCTCAAAAATACGGAGGATTCTGAAACCTAACCTGCATTCTGATGACTTTTAACGAACAAAAACTAAAACTAAAAACAAAGTAATAAGTACACTGCATCAGCATTTTTATGTTAAATACATTTAATTTGGTTTAGTTTTTGGTTCATGACCCTGGGACCCCCACAGAGAACCAGGAGGATTGGAGGGAGCCAGAGTGTCTCCCTGGACCACACACTCCTGGGTCCTGGATGTCTGTGCAGGTGAAACGAGAGGCTCACAGTCTCTGGAAGACATAGCAATAGAGGATCCCTCTCTAACCCCTGAGGTACCCCTAAAACCCCCCGCTAGAACATCCAATCGGACTTACACATGTGTAACGACCAGCACTGGGATGAGATGTCCATCGGCAGCTGGCCTGACTTGAGCAAGGTCAGAGGGTAGGAGAAGAATGGATGGAGGGGAAAGCGCTAACGGGTAGAGTCATACGGCTTATACACACTATACAGTACAATAAATTTGAAAGTTTGTTGTAAATCAGGAGGCATACAGTAGAATTGCAACCCTGGGAGGAAACCGAGAGAGAGCAATTAAAAGACTCCTGGTGAAAACAGGAGGGTTGGCAAGTGTAGTCCTCCAAGACTTTTCATCATGAGCAGCCTAAACTTGATGTGGAGGCTTAACAGTGATAGTTGCACAAATATAGTTCCTCCATCTGTCTGAGTAAGGCTTTTGCCATTAGGTGATGTGGTGGTAATTACTGTGATTATGTGTAAAACACTGATGCAGCTACTGTAGGTACAGAGGCACAGCCCAGCACAATCAGCAGCGACAAAGCAGCTTTAATCACAAGACACGAAGGTCCTCTGGGCTATTACAGCTTTTACATAGTGTTTACTACTGAAACTTTTTGGCTCCAATTTATACATACATCGGACAAAACTTCCCATACTGGCTCGTCCTCTTTGACACAGGTGCAAGTACTGTGATAACCTTACAACAATGGGTGTTAATCGTTAATTATTGATGTTATTTGTGCCACCTGTGTGTGTGTGTGTTTCCTGTTGTGACAAGTCAAATTGCCTGATGTGAGGAAGGTCTGTTCAAATGGCCTGGATGGCCGAGCTATTAAGACTGCACGATGTAAAAAGTTGCACAGAACAAAACAGCCATCATGTATCTGTAAGGGGTTGATGGGTTAATGGTCAGTACCAATGAAACAATCATTACAATGTCAAGTGATTCGAATTCTGGCTTTTCTAAAATGTTTTCCAGCACTCTGCTTTGGACAAAAAATCCTCCCACCAGCACTACACACCTACTCTCATTTCCAGCTGATGGGGGAGGAAACAACGTCCAAGTAACTTTTGGTAGTCAGACTAAAAAGTAAAAGCTGTAATACTGAATATTAGATATGCTCCCTCTTCACTAGATCGTTTGCACTGGATTTCCTCCTACACTGAAACCGCAAAATGTGCCAGATAACTCTCAGCATTGTCATTTCTTGGTTGCAGATGTATAACAGTAGAAGATAGTAATGGCCATATGGAGCTACATTAAGAAACTTCACGCTTTAGCTTCTACAAGTGGAAACAGGAGACAATTTGTCTGTTTAAAACTCTGAAGGAAAATCTTCTGGCAGCATATTCAGCTATTATTAGTGGGTCCACTGGGACCTGTGGTCTGTGGAAGCTTTGTTTTCCTTTTGACTTGTTATTTCAGCAGTGGTAATCAACAATCTTTTTTCATTATCCATTGATCTGCTGATTATTTTCTTGATAAATCAATTAAATGCGCTCTTGTCTGGAGGTAGTTCTTAACATAGAGGTGGCTAAGCCAGCAGCAAGTAGCTAATGGTGCTAACTCCATGAAGAAGCATCAGAAATGGTGCTGACGGGGCGTCGGTAGCGTAGTGGATAGTGCTGGCGCCCCATGTACAGAGGCAATGCCTCGCTGCAGTGGTCGCAGGTTCGATTCCGGCTTGCAACCCTTTGCTGCATGTCATCCCCCAACTCTCTCTTTGTCCCCATTTCACACTGTCCTGTTTTTGGGCAAAAAGCCCAAAAAATAATCTTAAAAAAAAAGAAGAAATGGTGCTGACAGAGCTAACAGTGTTAACCAGAGGGTGGACACAAAGCTTCTGCAACCCCACTGTGCCAATATCAGCAGTAGACACCACATGAGCACAATGCAGAGAGGTGGTGATGAGCCAGTGGGATACACATATGCACAAACATGCACAAGCAGCAAGACCGTCTACCACAACAAACCACAGAGAAGCTCAGATTACAACACACACAGAGGGAGTGTCACATCATTCTCTACTGGGGATGCCATCATTCCACTTTATCTTTACATAGCAAATAGTTGCTTGCTGCTATAATAATACTATGAATGGCACATACAGAACTTTTAACCATTTGGTCTATAAAATATAAGAAGCCTATTTTAAAAATTAAAAGGTTTCATCTTCAAATGCATTTTTTTTTTCAAAGATAGACTCAAAGATATTTGTTGTAAACGTATAACCAGTGTACAGAAGGTTACTTCTTAAATGTAATGGCTTACAGAACAGATTACTAGTTACACTGTTGAAAATGTAATAAGTGCTCTATCTCATGCTAAGAAAGACAACACTAATTATATTAAAGAGAAGTGGGAACGAGAGATGGGGATTAGATTGTCAGAAGAGGCCTGAGGGGAATATTTGGCAATTTCAATGGTCCTCAACTAACTCCATGGACTGGAGAGAACACTGCTGGAAAACATAATCAAGTACTTTAAGACACCCAACCAAGAGAAATATAGCGATGCTAATATGCCATGCTGGAGGCAGTGCAGTTGGCAAACCATTATCACATATTCTGGGACTGCCCCAAACTGAAATTGTTTTGGAAGGGCGTTCATGACTCTCTTGGTAAAACTTTTAGCACACAGGTTCCTCTGGACTTTGAAACTCTGTATCTGGGCCGTGTTTGTTTTTTGGACCAAGGGAAGGATATAAGACTACTACAAATTCTCTTAACGGCAACTAAAAAAGATACCACTATGAGATGGCTAAATCCAGCACCACCAACAATAAACGATTGGCTTGGAATAGTTTTAAAAATATTCAAAATGGAAAAAATAACATATTGTTTAAGAACCCAAAAAAATAAATTCTATCTGATTTGGAACAAATGGATCGCATATATAACCTCTATCAGAGGTGACTTTATCTGAGCCTATGGTCCATCAGACTTTACTTTAATCTATTTTATTTTGTTCTATTACTTCTTTTCACTCCATTATCCGACCTGGCTGGCAACATAATCTCCCACTGTTCCATGTAAATAGTTGCTTGTGTGATTTCCTGTTCCTAATTTTATATACTAAAAACTGGGAAGATCAACACTGTCAATGAGGATGCAGCTACTGTCATGTTAATTACTTCATGTAACAGCAAAGAACCTGATACTTTGTAACTGGGGATAGCTGCCAATAGCTACCAATGAAAAAAGTGCTATCTTCTTCCAGTTTTGGCTGAGCAATAGTTGATGCACTTTCCTTTGTGCCATAAATTGAGCCTTTATTTTCCCAGGGGATTGTACCCGGTGGCAGACAGTACTGCATAGTGACAGCGAGACATAGGGAAACGATCTCAATGTGATGGTGTTATCATTCAATAGCTATTACACTGTGCTATCAGCGTATACTTTACAGTGATAAGATAAAGCAAAAAATCTTGTCTATCGTCACTTTAATGGTGAATAAAATGGGTCAGTTTGGCAACTGCGGCTTTAACCTTCCACATTCCAAGCAGAAATGACAGTAATAATGTTCGTTCGACAGACATCCCAGCTGCGTCTTACCTGGCCAGTGCCTGGACCTTGGCTGTGTGTCTCTCCTCCAGCTCTGCCAGCTTCCTCTTGAGCAGATCAGTTTCCTGCCTCAGGCCTGCTGAGTGCTCCATCTCCCCATCCAGCAGACTGCGAAGAGACCTGTCAAAGACATCAAGCACATCACACATCTTAGTATACGTTTTATGTCCCATTTACATTCAGGTGATGCGTCTTGCACAGACCTTATCCTCCACACTGAGACATACTAAATGTTTACATTCTGGTAATTTTGATAAACAGTAGATTGGATAAACAATATTAAGCTTCTTTAATTGCAGTCACACTCAGCTCTGATACAAAACATTTAATCAACACATCTGTGATTGCATCGCTGTTATTTTAAAGCCACGAGCACAAATCGCAGTTTATCTTTAAAATCTTAATACTGCCTGCCAGAAGATTCACATTTATTTATGATTAATTCCATAGGTGTGTAAACATATCACTGTGCATTTTGGTCTTTACAACAGATTTTTATTGAACTGTGCTTTGCTGTTTGCACAACGCTCCTTTTTAGCAGCTGTTAAATGAGTGTAAATCATAAGTCTCTGGTGGCTTGATGCTAAAAACAAAACACAACAAAACAGTTTCCTGCCCCCAAGTCACCACAAAAAAAACCCTCTCGTCTCAGGATAAAAGGAAAACAAGCTGACACAATTTATACAGAAAGGTCATTCGATATCTTCCTCCAGTCTGAGTGTAAGTGTGTATGTGTTTGGGGGTTTGCGGGCGGCAGATAAGGAGAATATAACCCGTAACGTACGTGTTCTGTTCCTCCAGTTCGTCCTTCCTGTTCATCATGGCTACAATGGCCTGACGCAGCTCCACTGCAGAGGAGAGAGACCACAGTGAGACTTATATACTAAAACTACTTCAAAGACACAAAACACACACAGACACTACACACAGCAATATGCAAAAACTAATAACGTACAGTCTTCAAATGTAGAAATAATGGAATCCAACTTTTTAATGCTACTCTTTTGTTCCATCTTTAAGATGAACTGCTTTGATAAAATCAGGTTTTTACTTTTTTAAGATGACAGAACTTATGCATAATATCTATCTGACTCACAGAGAACACTTTTATTGCTACAGTAAAACATTTTCTGGAAGCTGCTAAAAAACCCTGAAGAGAGAGCCTAATCCAAGATAAATTTTGGGAGGCAAACACTGGCTACCACTTACATTAAACTATGTATCAAGAAAATATGAAACCAAACTCAAAACAACTTTTATAAGTGAATTGTGGGCAGTGTTATTCTACTCAACTGATCATACAGTTGAGCACAGCCGACGGCAGGACAAGAAAACCACCATTCGCTTGTCCCGTCATTTTGGCTCATACACCTCAACACCAACACCAGCCATTTTTATTGTGTTACCACTCAAAACCTTTTTTTTCGACAATGTATTTACTAGTTTTCACTTTAACGACAAGTAGAAGATGGACACATTATGAAATCTACAGGAGTTTCTAAATAATAGAAACAAACAAACAAAAAGAAAAAGAACACCAGCTTAGATTCATACACACAACGAAGAAGTTACAATGATGCACATTATGTTTACGTGCACAAAATATTCTGGGTTTTCTTTTCTGTTATATTCAAGTTTTTGCCCTTATTACAAATAAGACAATATTCCTACTAAGCTGTTTATATGGCTAAGACTGTAATATTGGAAAAGTATAACAGCTGGAGCCACTTGTCCTATTTTGCGTCTTTGTGTCAAAGATAGGATTTTTTTTTTTAAGTTTTCCACCAGTGGAGTACTTGTAAGACCATGCGAACACGGGCTCCGTCTTTCATTCCTTCAACCACTTTCTTGAAAAGGTCAGTAAGAGCCAAATAAGGCCTGTTTCCACCACAGGAACTTCAGGGTAATTTTACGGGGCCGGGGCCATTGGTGCGTGTCTCCACCGCAGGAACCACCCCTGAAGGAAAGAGTTCCGAAACTTTTACAGGGGCTAAACAAGTCCCTGCCTCGGAGTAGGTACTCAGGACAGCCCCGGAAAACTCCTGGGTGGGGCTTGGGGTTTACTTGGTGCTGATTGGATATACTCAAGGCGGGATGTGACATCAACAGAAAGCGACAAAATAGCCAGCATTTTTAAAACTCAGCAGACGAGGAGTCGCATTTTTAAAAGGAGTCACCCCGGTCAAAATGGTCACGCAACGATTACGTCACATCCAGAGCCCGGTAACTTTACAGGAACCTTCCTCCTACTCCGCACTCTCAGTGGAGACACGGCGGTTGAGAGGGCCGAGCGAGAGGAAGTTCCTGTAGTAGTTCCAGCCCCGCAAATAGTACCAGGAACTTCTTCAGTGGAAACGGGCCTGTCATTCACTCAGTAGATCTGAAACATAAGTTACCATGGATGCACACTGGGTGGCGCTGTGTTGATATTTTGAACATAAGGGTATAACGGTAGGAACAACATAGATGCTATCAGGTGTTTCAACCCGGAAGAGCAATAGGTTTTTGACCGCTGTGGTGCAGGACAGTGTGTAACATGCTGTGTGTTCAGTTTGAATGAAAGGTTGACATTGACATTAACATTGAAGATGGACATTTATTCAACCTGTGTTTGGCGCTATGAATAAATACTTATAGTTTTGCAACTGGAACCTGCAGTTTATTGTACGGAACGCAACATGGCCCTGCCCATCCCCCCCCCTGACTCTTCTGCTGTCTGTCTTGGTCAACCATCTCCCACTCTGCCCTCCTCCCCCACTCCTCCCTCTCACACCTCAACACCCTCCTGCTTGACCCCCCCTCCTCCTCCTCCTCCTCCTCCTCACACC